GCTCACCTCACCGCCAACTCTGCATACTTCATCAGCAGTAAAAGTACCTTGAGCGTGTACGGTGAAAGTTGTGCCGGGCAGACTGGATAAAATCTACAAAATTCCTCCGCTAGCTGAGGAAGGGGGAAAGAATAACCAATCACAAAAAGGGTACTCGTAAAAGGCGCAATACCTAGGTCTGTGGACTTCCACGAAGTCCATTCTCGCCGGAACCATATCTACATGGGCGGGGATGTTGTATTTTGCACGGAGAGCGTCTATATGAGCTTGGTCCGTCTCAGAGATCACTGGGGGAGGAGTCGGAGAAGGATCTTTGAGGAAGTCACTCCGGGATGAGGGGTGTCTCGGCAGTAACTCCTCCACGGTAAGAAAGCTACCCCCCTCTTCCACCATTATGTCCTCACCACCGGAGGGAAAAGCCACGGACAGCGGGTCCGCCTCAGAAACCCCTTCGTGGGATAGATGTGTTCTAGGCATTGTTGTGGCAGGAAAGATATTAGAGTAGCAGAGGAAGTGTAGGTGAAGAATGAAGGAAGGAAAGAGTAGAAAAGCTGCGAGAACGAATGTCGGAAAGACGAGGAAGAGTAACTGAAGGTGAAATGGCCAAGAGTTTTTGAAATAACAAATCCTCCACCTATTTATAGGATTGGGTAGCATCGGGATCGAAGCGAAAAGCAGCTAAGTGTCACCGGAATCGAGGCGAAAGGCTGCAAATTGGTACCAAAATCGAAGCGACATGCTGTCATCCTCAATCTCGAAAACGCGCGTAATGATGATGAAAAGGAAGATGACGTCATTTCATGATGCGACAGTCGATACCTTGCTGAGCACGTTGACCCCCTGCAGTTGACCAAGATGTGGTACTTCACGAAACCAAATTTCTCCGCGAAGGGCAAACGATGTCCGCTTATCGAGGACGCATCGAATTGCGACCTCTACAAGCGGAGGGACTAACTGTATGGGTCCAAGTGGGAATAACTTTGTAAAAAGGGGTTTTTTATTTTTCTCTCTCTCGGTAATATCTCTAAGAGACAACAACAATTGTAATACTTTCCGATAAGCATTTTCTAACATCCAATCACAGATCTTCATGAGATTAAATAATTTTTGTGTGTTCATTGCCTATCTTCTTTCGTTCTAAGTGAATATTATTCTTTACTAAGATTTACCTTTCATTTTCATTGATTGATTTGTCCAAAAGGACTGGGATATCTTTTGATACAAACAATAAATTAAGCTCATAATTGGGGCGTAGTCAATAAGACTAAGTTGTTATGCCTGTTCCTATAAGAATTGCGGAGCCACCACTAATGGTAATAGAACTTTGTGCAAAATATGAGTTAATTGATAACTTATATTGCCCGTTGAAATCTCTGCTGCTATTAAATGATCTTTGGCGAGCTAATTGTGTGGTAAAAAGATGTAGAATAAAAGGTTTTCACGGAAAATGTAAAGACACACAATGTATATAAACACAAATGTTTACCAAGTAACCAAACCATATTCACAATCTGCACTTCAACAGAAAATATAAAACAGAGTGAGCATATATTATCTCATATTTTCAATCAAACATAAACTAAATGACAAAATTCTATTAAACTCAGTTCACCACCATATTTTGTTTTTCTAATAGCAGACTTCTTCCCATCTTTGTACCAAGCAAAGAATGACACCAAAATCACCTCCATTCAAAGTCCTTCATCTTCGCTATCTTAAAAAAGATCTTGAATGAGATCCAAGACATCGCGTTGCCTAGGACACACGTTTTCCCATTCGATGGAAACTAGACTCTCCCTGTAATTAAAAATAGAACTATAACACCGCTCTTTGTTTTTATCAAGTAGATGTGTAAATTCATGAGTTTTAGAGTCATATAACATGTATTTTCATGACGTGAAAATATAAACTTATCATGACCCCAAAACCCTATAGGCTCACACTCAGATATTGTAGGCACCACATTAAGAAGTCCTATCCTTGTAGGAACCACGTTGAGAACTTTACTCCACAATCTTTCGCCGTTCATCACCCATACATGAATTGGAGGATCAGAGTAGTTGTTGTTATGATCACCGTCGAGATCAAGATGACGCACTAGTAGGCAAAGGGACTCCTTATAGATAGTGAGATCACAAAGATCAAATGCTGGTATATGGTTAGCCCATGGAAATTCACCAAACACTTCATTGTGCATATCAAAATATATCGGATTAGCTAGGAGGATTTGCTTATATGTATTGTGAACGGCTGTAACAGTAGTAATAAAATCCATTGAAACAGGTCGAGCTCATTATTGACCTATGCATTAATAGATGAGCATCAAAATTGCAAGTTATCTTTTTCCATAAATATAAGGAATAGACGCATCTTGATCATAAAGAAACCAAATGCAAACCACCTTGTAATCTTGACTTATTGGATCAAAGCCAAAGCCAAATACACTATCAGAATACCTAAAACAAGATTGGGTAAACTTGGGAAGATCTAGTGAAAGAGGTCTAAACTCTCTTGTAGCTGGGTTCCACAAAGCCATGGCTCTGATATGAAACATTTAGCAAGAAAAATAAGCCATCAACAGGACCAATAAATTAAACTGATTCAAAAATTGTACTGGAATCTGTAAATGACTAGGCTTTTCAGGAATCAAACCGGGTAATATTTTATCGGACAACACATACGTTTGTGAGATCACATATTCGCCATAAATAGGTATTAAGAGACGGCTAGGGTTTTCTTTGTGATGAAGAGCTTGTAATAAGAGGGTACCATTTCTTATGCACACATTTGAATCGTAAAAGAGATTTCACAGGCAACCTCACTAGAATCTCTGTTACCAGATTATCAGGCCAATTCGAATACACCATGACAGAGAGGAGGTGATTTTTTTGTTAGGAAGAATATATATATATATATATATATATATATATAGAGTTGGGAATAGGAAGGTTGTTGTGACATGTTCCATAGATGAGGATTGCTATTTATTTATTTTCTTATTTTTTGGCTTCTTTTTATTAGAAAAAATTTTTAATATCTCAAAAAGAATTGTTTAAAAACATGTCTAGGTTCATTCTTTTAATATTATATTAATGAATCTTTATTACACTAATCATTTTGAATATTCTTTTAATATTTGTAACAACTAATTTGATAAGTTTGAATTCAATCTTTGACAATTGAATAGCTATAATAACTTCAACATTACTTGCTATTGTGTTTGGTTGTCTTTGTTAATTTTTGTTTTTCTATTCCTAGTTTATAGTAGAAGAGATTGTTGAATCCTGGGGAATACGCCTAGTAATATTCATCACGGTGTGGACGAAATATACTTAAGAAAAGTGTCCTTGACACGCCTCGAGCTAATTCTTATTCTCCGTAACCAATATTTTTACAACACTTTTTCCTATTATTTTGGTTTCGTTTGTGTTCTAATACAAAGCTTCCATTTAGGATTGCTACTTATATTCTCAAAGCCACGTTCTTCCAAAAATAGTGGAACGGTTGCCACAATTAATAACAATTACCGTTGCAAGTTGAAAGGAAGCCAACATGTAGAATGTTACAAAAGTTTTTATAATTGTAGCATTTAAAGTAGTAAAGTAACACTAACACTCTTGCTCTTCACCATCAATCTTTCCTCCATTTTGGTCTTCATAAAGCTTAATTAGTACACAGACCATATATACATCCAACAAAGAAAAGTACGATTAAACTCAGAATTGGATCTGGAAGAGAAACCAATGTAGCGATTTAATGTTAGAGTTCAATCTTCCACACACACACACACACACACGAAAAAAAAGTAGGAGGAGGAGGAGAGACCACGACATTAGAGCAGTGTCTGGAAAATTTGATCAAGATTTTATTCATCTATTGCAGGTACTTGGTTTTTCCTAGGGGTGTTCATAAAAACCCGAAAAATCGAACCAAACCAAACCGACCAAAAAAACCGATACTTTTTTGTTTGGTTTGGTTTTGATTTTGAATTTTAAAAACCGACCAAATTTGGTTTGGTTTTGGTTTTAATCAAAAAATAACCGGAAAAAACCGAACCAAACCGACTATAGGAGTAGCTATTTCAAATTTATTATTACACCTATATATATGTATATTTTTATACAAAGTTTCCAAAAATTTATGGTGAATGTTAATCGTTTGCACTTTTAGTACAGTTCTTTACCTTTATATTGGTAGTTTTCTTTTATTAAGTGTAAGAATCCATTTCATGTTAAAAAAAATACACTTTTAGTTGAGTCCTTAAATTATTCATCACTATTTGATTCAATTATCATCAATATATTTTAGTAAATAATAGATTTCTCAAAGGGCAATTGATTTGATAGTGTTACGTTGAAAATACGTGCGCCAAAATATGTGTTTGGTAGTGTATGTCTTGTATTTAAGAAAAAACTAATAAATAACCGAAAAAACCGAAAAACCGACAAAATCCAACATAAAAGGAATCGAGAAAAAACCGACTTAATTGGTTTGGTTTGGTTCTAATATTTGAAAAACCGACTTACTTGGTTTGGTTTCATTTTACGGAAAAATCGATCCAAAACCGAACCATGAATACCCCTAGTTTTTCCTTTAGACTTTCTATTGAAGCGTTGGTAATTTTTTTTATCTTTTTTATGTGTGGTAAAAAGATGTAGAATAAAAGGTTTTCACGAATGTAAAGACACACTGTATTTGTCTACCTAACCAAACAATATTCACAATCTTTACTTCAACAGAAAATATAAAACAGAGTTAGCATACATTACTCATATTTTCAATCAAAGATAATCTAATAGACAAAATTCTATTACACTTAGTTCACCGTCTTTGCACCAAGCAAAGAATGACACCAAATTCACCTCAATCCACTCAAAGCTATGTTGCTCGGACTCTTCGAGAATGTTGTTGGAGGCGTGTCAAATTCCATAAAAGTAATGTATTTTTGGAGGATTCGATACAGATGCGGTAGCATTTTAGAGAGTCCCCACAACATAGATTCAAAGTTCTTCATCTTCGCTATCTTCAAAAAATTCTTGAATGAGATCCAAGATATTGCCTTGCCTATGACAAACACTTTTGCCTTTGATGGAGACTAGACTCTCTCTGTAATTAAAAGCTGAACTATCACACCGCTCATCATTTTTATCAAGTAAATGTGTAAATTCATGAGTTTTAGAGTCATATAGCATTATATTTTCATGACGTGAAAATAGAAACTTATCATGACCCCAAAACCCTATAGGCTCACACTCAGATAGTGTAGGCACCACATTAAGAACTTCAGTCCTTGTAGGCACCACGTTGAGAACTTTAATCCACAATCTTTCGTCGTTCAACACCCATATATCAATTGCAGGATATGTAGAATTTATGTTATGATCATCGAGAAGACGTACTAGTAGGCAAATGGACTCCTTATAGATAGTGAGATCACAACTATCAAGTCTTGATATATGGCTAGGCCATGGCATCTCATCAAACACTTCATTGTGCATGTCAAAAAATCGTATTAGGACTCGTTTAAAGGTATTGTGGCTGACTTTAACAATTTTGCTTGCACACCAATAATAAAATCCATTCACACAGGTCGAGCACATTATTGAGTTATACATTAATGGATCAGCATCAAAGTTGCAAGTTATCTTTCTCCAACAGTCATTGACTAATGAATAAACGGCAGCAAACCACACACGAGGATTAGACCCATCTTCATCATAAAGAAACCAAATGCAAACCACCTTGTAATCGTGACCTATTGGATCAAAGCCAAAGCCAAATATGTTTTCAAAACAACCAGGACAAGATTGGGTGAACTTGAGAAGATCTGGTGGAAGAGGTCTGAACTCTCTTGTAGCTGGGTTCCACAGAGCCATATCTGAATCTTTGAGCAAGAAAAATAAGCCATCAACAGGACCAATAATCTCATCTAACTCTACAGGAATCTGTAAATTATTAGGCTTTTCAGGAATCAAACCGGGTAATATTTTATCGGGCAACACATGAATAGTGGTGCCGGATTGTGAGAGATCATCGCCATAAATAGCTATTAAGAGACGGCTAGGGTTTTATTTGTCATGATGGTGTTTTCTAACAGAAAAAGAGCTTGTAATAAGAGAGTACCAATTCCTGCACACACATTTGAATCGTAAAAGAGATTTCACGGGCAACCTCGCAAAAATCTCTGTTACCAAATCATCAGGCCAATATTAGAATACTCCATGAGAGAAGAGTTATGGAGGTACAAGAATACGAGATATCCTATCTATTTATTTTGAGTTGTCTAAGACGGCTGATTTTCTTTCTTCACATAGAATAATTATAGTAGTATTGTATTAGGACAGGCAACAACGAGCCGTGCATGTCAACTAGGGCTCTAAATTAAACCTAATGTGAAGGAAATATTATATAGACTAACTTTTTTATTAAGTCCTTACTAAATGTGTAAACACAAAATATCCACCAATCACCATGATCGTGTAGTGTTTGGTCTGATTTTTCTATCATATTTGATTTTTTTTTTTAAAGAAAGGGCAAAATATTTACCATAATATTATTTTCTTTTTCTGAAAATAAAATATAGATCTCTTTCATATTTGACTACTTATTTTTCATGGAGCAAAAAGTTGTGTACTTCTACAATATAAGTTGATAGTTTTTCAATAATGTAGTCCTTTAGGATTGAAGAGTCATATTTAGGGAAGAATTTATTCTTTTGATATTAATTTCTGTAGTCTTTCATGCCGTAGATGTCCATCTCCTTCCTCCAATATTAATATAGGTCAATTGACCAAACCATGTTACAATATTCTCTTTTGGTATATTTCTGTATTTTGTAATCCCATTTATTGTCGTTCAAGGCTACTTTGTTTGTTTCAGCTTTGATCCCAATGGGTAGGATTTTCCATATCTCCACCTGAGCTATGGACATTATAAAGCAAGAAATTTAAAATGATATGTTGATCGATAAAAATAATTTTGAATGTTTGCTTGGAACCGAGGGTCGACCGGAAACAGCCTCTCTACCTACATACGGTAGGGATAAGGCTCCGTACATAATACCCTCCCCAAACTCCCTATTTGTGAGATACACTGGGTTTTTTATTGTTGTGGTAGGCGGCATTGATTGAATTCTAGCTAGAACTTATCTTTGGCAGGGACATATGTTATAACTCTTAACCCAAAACCATTGGGGTTTTCTTTGGTCAAGTTGTGTTCACTTCACATGCATAAAAGCTATAACAAACATTTCACCATCTTGTCCCTTTTCTTATTATACTTCGATGCATTTGCGAGAGTATTCCAAAAAGGGCTTTCTCTAAACCATCTTGGCTTTCTCGTCCTTCTCTAAACCAAGAATGAGACGAATTGAATTTTGGAACAGTTGTTTTACAGCTTGAAAATTACATCTGACCATGACTTTGATTTAGAAAATAATACAAATGTGATCCATGTAACTCTTTTCCTCGCCTGCAGGTGACTTCCAGAAGACTTCTAAAGACAAAGTTCTAACTTCATTGGAGAAAAATGCCTTCCGACTCGATCCTGATAGCAGAATAAGGCTACTAAGGGGACAAGGAAAAGTAGGAAATTTGAACTAAAAAGGCAATCATCTAGCACATGATATATTCTTCGAGAAAATCATGCGGCAAATAAACAGTTAGAAAGGAGCCAGTGAAAGCAAAATTCCAGAATGTGGAGCAAAAGGAACCCTCGCATTCTTTTGGATAAGTAAATCGACCCAATGTTTGAATACGTGATTTTACATTGTGGTATAAACAGAAATAGACAACAGAAACTCCTGTTTTGGGGAGTAAAGTAGGACAACAGAAGTACCTCAATACTAGATCCCAGCTCAATCCTTGTATTTCATTGTTTCTTTCTCGAAACCAACAGTAGGAAATTGTTTTGCATAGTCCTCAACATCCTGCCTTAGCCAGGCAATCTCAGATTGAATTTTGGAGTCTGAACTCAAGGTTTCCACAAAGTCCTTCAACTTTGTTCCTACGTTTATTAGAAACCAATCTTCGTAAGTAACATTGTTAAATTTTTAAAATATATTATATGATAAGGGGAACTTATGTATTCCGAAATTCATAAGACGAAAATCACCAAACCTTGGGTCTCAGCCTTGACCTTAAGGGCCAACTTCACAGCAGCATCAAAAAATTCAGCCACTTTCACAAAATCCTCCTCGGTAAATCCCCTAGAAGTCAGAGCTGGGGTTCCTGGATCACAGCATGGGAAGGGGTAAATTGACTTGACATAATTGCTGCTACATGTATGTCACCCTATAATGGGAATAATTTTCTGTTCTATTTACTCATTTTAATTAGTGCTTTTAATTTCACATTACAAGAATAATTAGTTAATACTAAGATATAGCCAAAAGAATATTAAAAGGTTTTCTGTTAATTCATGAGATGCTGAAAACAAAATTTTCCAGTTATTTAAGCAATCATAAATAGGGAAAAATTAAGTTCTTTACCCATGCGAATGCCACCAGGCACCATGGCGGATACATCACCAGGCACAGTGTTTTTATTGGCTGCAATATGCACAGACTCTAAAACCTTCTCAACCCTAGAGCCATCAATACCCTGAAGAAGATATTTACCAAATGTACCATGTCAGCTGGTGACAAATCATAAATAATGTAACGACAGGCACATATCAGGAGAGTTCTCCATTGGCGTATTCGAGGCTGGTCAACTGTACTAGAGGTGGCTCCCATGTTAGATATCAGGGTTGAACTTCCAAATTGAAATGCACAAAGTTGTCTATATTTGACCAGTTTCTTTAGTGAAGATTTTGCAAATATACACAACTCTCAAGAAAAAGTACCTACATTCTTTGAGGTCTCTGTTGGCAAAAATATCCGCAATTTGAATTACAGGACAGTAAGCTCTCAAAATGAGTTCCAAATGAACAAAGGTAAATAGATTATTTATGTACCTTATTTCTTAAATTTACTAAAACCAGATGATTCTCAGTCCCACCAGAAACAAGATCATATCCGTTCGCCAGCAAACTCTGCGAAATATTGTGATGAGAAATAAAGACATGCAACAAAAGCATCAAATAACCTCCCTCTCCAGGAAAAATGATCATACACTAAGCTATATGAGTAAGGACGTAGTACCTCAGCAAACTTGGAGCAATTGCTAAGAACTTGCTCTTGGTATGCCTTGTATTCCGGTGTCATGACCTAGATAACATACAAAGAGATGTTATATAAATTACGCCTTGTAAGGAAACCCTGTGAACATTGGAAACAAACACAGAAGACGAATTACTTACTTGTTTCAGAGCAACGGCTAAGCCAGAAATTGTGTGATTGTGGGGACCTCCTTGAAGTCCGGGAAAAACAGCTTGGTTGATTTTATCTTCATAGTCATACATCACCTGCAGAATTACGCTCGGACTATTACTATCTCATTACAGTTTATCTCTTATTCATTCAAAGAAAATGAGATATAAATTGCTATCATATTTCAACAATGGGATTTTTGTGCTTTTCGTCCAATCTTTTGTGTTAACTCCGATTTGATATTCTTAAAGGATAGAGATTAAGGGTCTGACCTTTGATTCATTTGAAAAAAGCCAATTTAATCAAGCACAGAGAGAAATTAAACCGATATTTGAGACCCCACAAGTGTCTTATGCCCTTTGACCCATTGGCTATCCCCAGCTTAGCTCCTTAAAACACTTAAACCTTGCAAACTATTTATACCCTCCACAAACACTTAAAACCACCTTGCAGTATAGTCCATAATGATGCAGCGGTTGCAGATGGTCTTTTGACAGTGTAGGGAACAAGGTAGTAGTGGGTTAATGGAGGTACATGAGTTTATGGTGTGTCAAAGGGGGTAGGTTTACGAGGTCATAGGAGAATCTGCGGGTTGAGGCCAACAGAGTTTGGTGGAGCCCATTGTATTTTCTTAATACTGCGTATTAATTAAATCTTACCTTATTAAAAAAAACAAAAAAAACAAAAAAAAAAAAGAAAAAAAAAAGAGAGGTTGGTGGAACTCATTACATAAGCTAAAGGTTAATGTGCTGGACATGGTAACTGGAGAAGTAAACAAACAAGTTACAAGGATGGACCAACTACAAATTGTCAATTCCTAGATTTCAGTTCCAAAGAGAATCGATACTAAGTTCTTCATGTTATTTAACTTCAGGTCAAACTCACTTCTTTTCCTTGTTTGTTTATCTCCTTCAGCCCTTTTCTGAAAAAGATCATTGCCCCACGTGGACCACGAAGTGACTTGTGAGTTGTGGTAGTAACAACATCTGCATACTCAAAAGGAGAAGGAATGACTCCAGCAGCAACCAAGCCACTGATATGTGCCATGTCTGCCAAGAGAACAGCTTTTTGCTTGTCACATACCTGTCAATCACTCAAAATAGAGCTATCTTAAAAAAGTGGAAAATATAGTAGTGGGAACAGGCACCAAAAGGTTTATTAGCTTACCTTGCGGATACGTGCATAATCATATAAGCGAGCATAAGCACTTGCACCAGCAACAATTAACTTTGGTCGAAAGAGTACTGCACTTTTCTCCAGCTGGTGAAATGGAAATTAAACAACAGTTAGTTGAAGAAAATAACAAGACTAAAAGCCCGGGGGAAGACAAAAAGAGGGAAAGGAATCCAGGTAGCAGCTTAGATTTGTAAACACTAACACATGTTCCTTTTTCCCAGACAAGACTAGCATAAACATCTGTGGTATGAAGTCACCTGTTCCTACAGTATTCCTAGCTCAACAGCTTACACTTTCGAGCCGAAACAGCAAGAACTTACCTATCTCATTTCCCCAATATTGTTTATTGAACATGCTTAGAAGCTATAATAGAGCCTGCGCCATGTGGAC